TTGTCTCATCCGCGTACTCAGCAGCGCGCGTCACGGGCGGAGGGTTTTAAGGATTCAATTTTATATAAGAAGAAGGGAGGATGTTGCAAGATGAAGATTACGATTCAGACACGAGTGACGAAGATTTTGTGCCGCAAGGTTGGTATCAAGCGGTGCGGTTTAAGAAACGTGTGTAAGGCATAAGGTTTATCATCAAGGGAAGGCAGTGAATGTTAGAAATCGTCTGTATGTTTCTGCTTCAAGGAGTTACCTGCTGTTGCAAGTTTACTGTAGATTTATGCGATGAAACGCGAGTGTTTCTAATGCTGTTGGTGAGTTTTGGAGAAGATGCGAGCACACCTTTGGTGATTGTTATTTTATGCAATTTCTGCATAGCGTTCGACATGTTTTGGGGGAGCGCATGGTGTATACAAGGGAATGTACTGGGTACAAATGGAGAACAACTTGCTGACTAATACCACGAGTAGTAGGCCTTCATGCAGTATCAGGGAGCTTTATTCTCTTAACCACCAGTAATTGTTGCCAAGAGCGACGCACCCTCTAGTCTCAAAACCAAGGTATTATGCGAACCCAATAACACAACCTAACCTTTCCTACCTTTTATTTACACCCCAGACAGGGGGGGCAAACCCCCCAGTACCCACCATTTACCAGTATGGAAAGTACAATACTTTTTGATGAGATCTTGGGTGTGCACAAAAAATTAATCAAAATGTGCAGTGTGCAACGGTTACCAAGTGTGAACTTCAAGAGTACACATCTTGGAACTTTTGAGATAACAAAGTGCTTGAAAGTCCTTTAAACTATTAGTAGATTCCTTATTCCATATCCATGTTACATAATTATTTTGATTGTTAATTGCTATAAATCACTCAGGTGTGCAACCAGGAACTCAAACAAAAATCTCAGGTGTGCATCTACCATACTTTCCATACTAGCCTATTTATTAATACTTTGCGCCAACAGATAGAAAATGAATGAGGCTGCTGCAGCTGTATTTATTTTGCTTTATTATTGATTTACTTTTTCCTGATGGTAATAGACTATTTTCCATAGACTTATCATCTCTCAGTTTAGTGAATAACATTTTGTTTTTTTGTTTTATGTCTTATTATTTCATAATATTAAATTTTCTGTAATACAACCTGTGCTGCCAGTCACAGTGTTCAGGAATAGGATACTGAGCATGGAAATGGCATCCTCTTTGGAGTCAGCAGTCTTCCAGTCATGGCTTATGAACATTACATTCCTCACTCTTGATGGGAATAATGCAAGCTCCTCTTCGTAATTGTTAAATGAGTCTAATCACCCTCCAAGAGTTTTGGCAAATCTTTTCCACTCACACTCATGATGGTAAGTTCATGTCACCCACCCTGCTGCTATTTTGTCCCATGACAGCATTATCATGTCATCCAGCCCTCAAGCACAATATTTTCATGACATGATGGTCACATCGCCTGAATCAAAGGGGTTAAATGATACATCTATAGTAATATGAAGCTGTACCCTCTTTTTTATACTGAGGTAAAGATGCAATTGATAGGTTGTTGATGGTGGATGACTGGGTAACAGAATAGTGATGATACTTTGTTGAAGTACGTCAATGATATTGCATATGCTGCATCCAGCCACTCAAAACCAACTTCTCGACCTTTCTATCAAAAAGATGAAGTATATTTAGAATGATGGCGGATGGCAGATTGAGGTAACCATTCAGTTTCCAAACAAATTGACCTTGAGAAATCATCTGACAGAATGGGACCATCTCAGAAAAGGGGAAAAATTGGCTTACGTCAATTGGATTAAACAGTTGTATGGAGAAAACCAGTTGAGATCATGTGTAGTGAATCTTTCTGAGGAATAGATGATATCTGGGAGTGTGGTACACCCATTTAAAAAACACAGAAATTAGTAAATTTATAGTACCCGGTGTTACAAGTCAGAGAGTCGGGAGAATGGGCCTGGCTTTCGGAGAGTTGTAGCTGGAAGAAACTTGCTGAAGAGTACAGGAATTACTTCCTCACCTTCATTACCAAAAAAAAAAAAAAAATGAAAGGAAAAAGTTTATGAGAGGTTACATGTGATTAATTATCCTAGGGTCAGACATTGTATCTCTGATGAAAAGTACTGTCAGACGTTATGGTTTAATATTGATTACTTGTGCAGATACTTAATGGATTCAAATTGTAATAAAGATGATCCATGTTATTGGAGTCCCTACCAGATGTAAAGCTAGAACATATCTTTTATTCTCTTTTATTTTTCAGGTGTTGAGAGTGACGATGAACCGATAAGTGGTGGAGAGGAAGAGGAAGATGATGATTTAGATGAAGATGGGGAAGGAAAATCAGCAGCAAAAGATAAAAAGAAAAAAGGAAGGAAGAAAAAGGGCAAAAAAACGAACCCTCTTTTAGCACATATAGAAGATAAGGAACAGGATACAGAAGAAAAAGAAGCAGAGCAAGATGTAGTAAGCAGTGAGAAGGATAAAAAGAAAGAGGATAATTTATGGGCAGGTATGTATATACTTTTTTTTATATAGAGGGGAGGACATCACAGAAAAAGGAAATCACAGAACCCCATACTTATTTAAAACTAACTAGAAACTCAAAATACAGGCCTTGTAGGTAGATGACACAGCTCAAAGTGTTGCTCCCTTGCAATCTCCTCCTTTTACCTCTACTTTATTGCGCATACATGTTAGCCTCCATTCAAATGACCATGCACATTCAATTAAACAGAGCAGCTGTTTCTTTACTTAGGTGAATCTTAATCTGTAGGCTTTGGGTGCATCACAGCCTACACCTGGACCAAGTGACTTGTACCTCTGGTCTGCATGAACACTCGTCCATTGTCAAGACTCCTTGCATCCCTTTGCAATGTGATATCTTTTTCTACATTAGCATTTTTTGCTTTTTGTCATTTTCCACAGGCAGTATTTGCCACTTGATATGCTTTATCAAGATGGTAATAGACTCTTTGCAATGTTGTGATCTCTTTTTCTGCACAAGCATTCCCCCCCCCCCCCCATTTTTCGAAGTCAGTATTTCTCATTTAATATTCTGTATCAAGATAGTAATAGACTGTTTTCCTTACACAAACTTCTTATCATATATCTAGGTTGTCTACAACTCTGTGCAATAATAATAACATTGTGTAGTGTAATTTTTCTATATTTTGGTAATGTTTAGTTTTCTGTAACACCCTGCACTGCCTTGTCATGGTGGGCAGGAAGGGATTCTGAGCATGGAAATAGTGTCCTCCCAGGACCTGGTGCTCTTCTGGTCATGGCACAAGGATAGTACATTCCACCGTCAGTGGAAATGGTGCAAGAGTCCCCTCTTAAATGCCCACTGAGTCGAATCTTCATCTCAGAGCTTTGTTTACTCATGACAAGTCATTCCTGTTGCCTGAGCCCTTGGCTAAATTTTTCATGAAAGCACATTCTCATCAACCTGGCCCTCAGCCAAAATTTTCTTTGGTAGCATAGTGGTGTCACAAGGTCCTCACCCAATTTTTTTCATGACTGTATTGTCATGGAACATTTTAGGGACAATGGGAGTAGCTGTGTAGTGTACTTTTTCTTTCATTCTTTTTTCTTGTATTTTATTGGTAGGCTTATTTAGGTTTTTATTTTTATTTTTTAGGTAGAGCTATTTCTTTCTGCCTAATTCCTGACAAGATTGTCTATTATTATTAGGAATTTATATGTTTACTTTTCTGGCAAAGATTAAAGATTTACAAAATGGTCTTCATTTGTATTACACAAAGCATGGTGAACCACACACCATATATATATATATATATATATATATATATATATATATATATATATATATATATATATATATATATATGTATATTTTGCGGAAGATATATTTATTTATGGGGATTTTATGAGCCACCAGACGTCTTTTTCTCTTTTCAGATTTCCTTGCCGATGTTGAAGATAAACCAAGCCCTCCACCTAAGCCAAAAGCTTCAAGTTGGGCAGCCTTATTAGGGAAGAAGTCTTCAAGTAGTGCTAATTCTACGTCTGGTAAGCAGAATAGGATGACCATATTTTATTCCCTACAATATATTTCTCTCATTTAGCATATGTAGTTTTTGATCTCTCTTTCTCAAGAGTGTGTAAGATTTGAAGTCTGTTTTATATGACTAATATCTCAGTAACTTGGCTGTAATTAGAATATTTGTATCTTTTGTATATTTAGAAATTAAGATCAAATTTAATTTGTTGATAACATTTTTACATCTATGATTTACCTATGGTTTCCCGATATAAGAATTAAAAAGGCTCCATTTGTTGTATAAATATAGATTTTGGCATGTTTATAGAATAATATTTATAACCAAGGTTTAAATAGTAATACAATGCTCTAAGTGTAACTTATTTCACACTTTATTTTTACCTATATAGTTCCAAATTTTTAGTTGGATAAGTCAAAAACGAAAAAAGTTTTAGTGTAAGTCATGTTCATCAGAAGGAACTGCTCCTGTATTGTGATTTTATTTGTCAATCTGTATTATTTTAATCTTCAGAAAACATGTAGTGATTGTACACAAAATACATGAGAAATATTTTGATAGCAAAAATAAACAGTAATAGTACACAAAATAACATAAAAAATACTTTGATAGTCACTAGCATATCCTTAGTTAAAATATTTCTCTAAATGATTTTGTTTATAAGCAATGATTTCATAATCGGATACAATCACTTGATTAAACTGATTTGATTTTGACTGACAATCTTGGTTCCTAACCATGAGTATCTATAACCTTCTTGGGTATTGTAACCAGAGGCTGAGAACCTTGGACTTAGTGATATTAGCTATACTAAGTAGGTGCACTATGATTGTTTTAATTTCCCCATAATATTAGCATGAATCTCACTAGATTAGGTCATTATAATTTGTTGATTGTAATTCATATTTATGTCTAAATTGATTCAGCATGAAAAGATAATCATGATTTTTGGTGTGTTCTTTGCTGTTCTGTTTCAAGGTATTGATATTTTTGAACCCATATCAGTATTTGATAAAGCTGGTGATTCTGATGAAGTGGCATTTGGACATACCTGGGAAACCTTTTTGGGGTCTGGGGAAGTGAAATAATTGAGAATCTTTGTCTTTATGTATTCCACTGCTAAATTGGCACCAGTTAGCTTGCATCGTACTCAAGGCAAGGCTCAAACTTGCGGATCCCACAAAAAATCACAAACCTAGTGATACAACAAATGTGACAAGAAAAATTTGGTCTGTTTAACAACCTTTATCAGACATATTTAGTCAAGGTTAAAAATTTACTTGATGATCTTATATATAATACTCAGAGTTAACTGAAATCACTTCAAAGCATAGAAAATGTTCATTTAAAGTAAATCTTTATATCTGTAAATATAGTGGAGTTTGAAAGAAAGAAAGAAAGAAAGGAAGACAGTGGGAGGGAGGGAGAGTAGTCATTTCCTCTCTTTTAAGTGGTACTTTGTTGTACTTTACTTAAAGTTACCACATTTGCTTTGTTTACGTCCCTCAGGATAATGGGCTATAATGTGGAAAAGAAAGAATATTTATCTCTTACGACGTGAATTTTTTTCTCTTTCTTGCAGCTCATCCTGTTTCAGCTACAGTTAAGAAAGAAGAACCAAAGAAAGACCTAAAAAAAGAAAACCAAGATAATAAACCAAGCACTGTAAAAATTACCAAGGTGTTTGAATTTGCTGGAGAAGAAGTAAGGTGAGGACTCAGGGTCGGGTGGGGGGGGGGGATTTCAGCTTTGCTTTCCTTTTCAAGAAATCTCATTTTCAAGCTTGAAACTCATTCTCAGATAAAGTAGAAGTTGCTGGAAGTGCCAGTGTGTTAGAGGTAAGAGCTTTGGGTGAATTGCTTGCTATTAAGATAAAGATTGAAACTTTGACTTCTATTCAAGGGTAAGGTATAGATTCCAGATAATATAAGTATGCTTAATACATATTGTGAATATTAATTGTTTATTTTTTTTATTTTTAGGATAGGTACATGTCCAACTTGCATGTCAAGAAAGACAAGATGAAAATGGTATTCCTATAAACAGAATTTAATCATACAACAAATCAAAACAATGGCCCTCATAATCTTACAGAATAGAAAAAGAAGTAGATGCCAACTCAGCCGAGGCAAAAGCCGCAACTTTAACTCCCGAGAGCAGTACAACACTTGACAAGAAAGCTTCACCAGTTGGAGGTAAGAATTTCTTCTACTTAATAGTTACATATCAAATGTACATCTATATGTCATTACCCATAGTACATACGTCAAAATCATTAGTTCCCAAAGTGGGCAGTACTACCACCCAGGGAGAGGTGGATAGATGTGGGTGGGGGAGGGGTGAAGCATAAAGGGAACAACAGGATGGTATTAGAAGTTTATTAATATTTTTTTTCTTCTTGTCTTTTCTTTTCCTCTCTTTTCTTTCTTTCTCTCTTTCTTTTGTTTATCTGAATGACAAAATGTGCACCAAGCACATCAATTCCATTACCTATAACTATGGTGAGATTTTGATTTCCCTTCTATTTTGCTGACACAGCTAAAACTGCCAAATGATTTGATGTACTAAATTAGGTTTTATTTGGGGAATACATCTTTGTATTTAATATTGTATTCAATTTGAAGCATAACAAAATAATCAAATTCTGTACACATTGAGTGCCAGGAATCCACCTGGAAGCCAAGAGGACACAAGCCTGGAAAAGTTTTGGAACCCCTGATCTAGATAAAAAAAAATTAGCATTTAGGTGTGGGTATATCTGTTATTAAAGCGATTGACAGATAAGTGTCTACATACTTACCTATTGTTTCATTATATAATTAGCATGATCAAGATGTCTTTCAAAAGCATTATGAACACATTTACAGGTCTTGGAGGTGTGAAACGACCTGCAGGATTATCGAACATCATAGGGCTCTTGGATAATAAAAAGCAAAAATTGACAACTTTAGAAAAGACCAAATTAGACTGGAATAGCTTCAAAGCTGAAGAAGGTATTGATGAAGAACTGGAAAGTCACAAAAAGAGTAAGCATGGGTAAGTAGACACAAATTTTGATTTCCTTCACATTACTTTGGCATCTCTTTCCTTTGAACAGTGATTAATAATCTGCAAGTCTTTGTAAGAAAATTGCAAAAGATTTAGGAGTTCTCTTGCAGACACCAGATTTTCAAAGTTTGATATTAGATTACAGTTACTGTGTCTTAAAGGTTCTTAAAGGCGTCTCTCACTGTACTGATAATGACTACCCACCCACATCCACATGTCCACCAGCCATCCACACTCACACTTGCATTCCCACCCACACAGCCACATCCCCACCCATGTATGCAGGTGAGATAATGACTGAGTATGTGAGTCAGTGAATAAGCGAGTTAGTGCCTGAAAAAATGAGTGTGAATCACTAAATGGAGAATTAGTTAGTGGGCACATAGAAGATTTTTTGTATGTGTACACTTTTTTTTTGTTTGTTTGTTTGTTTGTTTGTTTGTTAAGGATATTTTCCGCTCTTCAGAAGAGAGCTTGATATATATAGAGTGGATACATAAATAGGACTTTTACAGATTTTTTCCAAAGGCTATATTTTTGTTATGCAGTACTACAGATGGTTTCATGCAAAAGAAAAATATTTAAAACAATATTGAGATATTTTCCCATGTTCAAATAAAATAAACATGAAAATTGCTGAAACCATTCTGGTATGAACTGATATGACGTGGCAGACCAAACATCATTGCGGCAGAAATTTCATCCGATGTCACTTCAGCTGGGTCTTCTAGCTGGACATCACCAAAGGTAGAGCCACAGTCCCATAGAGTGACTTTAAAGCCTTCAGCCCTACAACACACTTACTATGAATAATCGTATACTTTTTTCGTAAATTAAATTTACAAGTTCAGTGTCACATTTCCTTATACATATAATATATTTTCTATAAAGAGATGCGGGTGCATTTTATGTTGTATAATGTTACATTGTTGGCTTGGCAGTGTATTTATTGTATATTGTTTCATGCAGTGCAATAAACAAGAAAGAAATGCAAGGCATCTTATAATCACCAGCCTCTGAGCCTAGGCACTGTAACTGTAATCTAAAATTTATCTGTTTATGATAGTGTATGGTCCAATTCTATTATTTATATAATTTTCTCTATCATCTGATGTTTAGAGAATGGCAGAAATGCTGCTATGGAAAATGGGCAAGCCCTGTGTTTGAATATGTCCATGCAAACCTGTAGAAAAAAATATGAAACATTGATTAATTGTTTTCTTTTTTTCAGGTATTTAGACAAACAAGCATTTTTAGAAAGAGCTGATATAAGACAGTTTGAAATTGAAAGAGCAATGAGACAAAGTAAAAGATCAAATAGGTGAAATTTCAATGCAGGAGTGAGGCAGGCATTACAGTTGGTACTTGGCCACTGCATAATATCTCAAAGTTTAAGTATTTTATGTGCTAGATATATGAAAAGTATCAGCTTTGTGTACCTTCCAAAGGGAAGACGGGTATGACTTTCAGACAGTGGTATCATCTCAGTCATGTTTTACATAATTTTATTTGAGCTGAAAAAAGTCTAGTGGAGACCATACTCATATGTTTTCTGTGTTGGTACAACTTGGTTAAAGGAAGATGCTGTATGGTGGTTCGTGATGTGGGAAGTACATTTTTTTTTCTTTCTTTCTTTTCTTACGAAAGAAGCTGGCATTTGCATTAGTAAACTGCATTGTGTATGATCAGAGGAGATAAAGGGGATACATGCAGGGCACAGAGTTTGTAATTGCTAGCAGGTAATATGAAATCAGTCTGATTCGCAGCCAGTAAGTCACTGAGACGTGTAAATTTTCAACAATATAAGCAAAGTGCTAAAGTTTAAAATTTAGATTTGTAATTTTATTGTCTCCTTTTTAAATTGGTGTGTGGGCTAGATAGAGGAGGCCCATGATTTCAGTTTTCTCACCTATGACAAATGTTAAAGGAAACCTTAAAACATTTCATTTCTTCTTATTGTATTGAATATTTACTATCCTAAGAAGTATAACATGTAGCTTATCGCGTAGAAAAAAAAATGGATTGGTGGTGGGTAATAGAAAAGAAATGGGTTTCCAGTGTCTATATATTTGAAGGTTTGGATAATAGGAAAAAAGTAGTCATTCCAAACCTAATAAGCACAGGGTATATCAACTAACTTGTTAATAAAATGATGTTTTGAAATCAGTGATTGAATAAAATTTACTCAAGAGCATGCCAAAGAACATCTAAAAGAGGTAACTGATGACAAATCTAAAACTACTTGCCCATTTTAAAATCCAACATTATAGATTCAAGATAGTATGGAAAATAGAAACAATGAATATGATCATTGTATTCTGCATAGTTAGATATATGAATTCTCTAAAAAGAAAAGAAAAAATAGGAACCTTTGGACTTCAAAGACCAGTTTTGTGTTTGCCACAGACGCTGAAATTGTCCATCAGTGAACAAAGCTTTATGCTTGTAAAATACACTAATTCAGTTCAAGATTAAGAATAGTTTGTCATATTGTATGTATTTGAAATAATACTTATCAGAGGTATGGAAACATAAAAGAATTATCATCTTCCTGTATTCTACATATTTGAAACAAAGTGACATTTATTCATATTGTACAATTTTGTAAGCATGAAGGAAGGCAGAATGTACCACTCAGCTGAATAATGTAATTTCACCATTCCTATTCTCATGGAACAAAATGTACATGTATTATTTTTCAATAAAATAAGTTAGAAGTATCTGCAGTATCATTTCAAATTCTATGCATTCCAGCATTTTCACATTTACAGTATATTACATACTGGATCTACGATTATCATATCCATTAAGGGATAAGGAGAAAAATAGCTGATAAGATGCCGAATTAACCCAATGGTGTAGGGAAATGATTGGAGTGCATTTGCAGGTGTGTTCGGGTTATTAGGAAGGTCACCTGCACAAGGTAGAATTAAGTGATGCGATGATGTCTTTCCCACTTGTGTTTAATTCTGGACAATGTGATTAATATTTTTTTCAATAAAATAATCGAAAAAGGACTTTGGCTTCAGAATGAGTGCCATTGGCTGCCATGTGAGATTTCTTTACTCCTTTACTTTATTACGAGCATTAGAATAAACGTGTTTTTCCTGAAGACTCAAGGTAAGTGGAGATGAGGTAAGTTCATGTAGGCAGTAATGGGTTATACAAGTAATTATGCAGTTTTTTCATCTTGTGCCTTTTAGTAATATTATGCAATTGTTTTATTCTGGTTGACTTTATACTTTGGTTTATCTGAGATATATCTAGCAGTCATATGTCTAAAAGAGAGTAGGAGCAGGCTATTATGTATTATAGGATGAAGGAAAAGCAAACGATTTGTCTTAAGCCCTAAAAATTTAAACCGGTAAGTGCTACTTTATTATGCTAGCCTGTAATTGCTAAGAGTTGCCATTAATGGAATGCTATTTAGTGCTCTAAAATTTCAAAACAAATGCTCTATGGGAGTTCTGTCATGTGTCCAGGTTCCTGTGCATGTATATCTTGCCATAACCCCTTCAAAAAAGTGGTCTCTTAAAATTTTTGTTTTTATGCACGTAGCTTCTAGCTGATTTGACAAAGATAGATTGATAGATAGATAGATATATACATGTATATAGATATATAGCTATATGAATAACCAAATATATAGTGACTTCAAATAAAATGGTAATTAAAAAGTTCAGAATATCTTGAAGCAAATATATATACAGTATATTTTCTAGTGCTGGAAGCAAAATTTAATAGCTTTACAATGCCATAAGATTTATGATATGACAAATGTTTTTCTTTTGATAAAAAAAATGCATATTGCATTAAATGATATATTCCTTTTACATATATTTATATCCATGTTTTTTTATCAATATGAAATATTTGGTATCATAGACACTACTATGGTGCACCCATCTTCGTTACAACAGTAAATGAAAAAAAAATATTTGAAGATTTATCACATGGATTGTGTACATCTACTGTAGTTTTCTTTTGGGAATTTTTATTACACATAGATACCTCATCTAATTACCCAACTGATGGAATTATCTGGATTGTTTAATACCATGAACTATTTAAATTTTTGAAACCATTATTATCATTACTGATACTGTTATATTTGGATGTGAATTGTGAGATTATATGAATGCCTTATAAACCTGAGAATCCCTTTCTAAAGCTTTTATTTTTATCATTTATTGCACACCATGATATTGGCTAGATTTCTTAAACCATGCTGTCAGGATGATATGCAAGTATATGCCATACCCACTGTGGGTGTAGTTGACTAACTGTATTTACATATAGATGGTTCCACAAGTGGTTAATCAACCAAGGAGTTAATCCCAAATCCAACATCACACGTTTATCCTTTTCCTTGATTTTTGAAAATAGTATCGTTAATAGCACTGTATTATAATGATAATAATAGCAGCAATGATACCAAAAACACAAGAAAAAAACAGAGGTAATCAGACGAGTTCACATAGGTATGCAAATTTCTTTTCACTTGTGGAGCCATCTATGTGTATATGCACTCCACAAAACAATACTACAGAGAGTGAACATTGTCTTAATAATAGGGTTTTCAAGATTATTGAATGGGTTCCTCTTTTTGAGTGTTTTTAAAATTTAAAGTTTTTGTCTTTCTTTGCACAATACCCACCAAACGATTGCTCTTTTTTACCGGGTGGGGGTGGGGGGGGCTAAGGAGACGGTGACTGATACCCAGTGTAGGAGATTACCCCTCTGTAGGACCTCAGCCCACGCCTCAACTAATTTTACAAGGTTTTTCGTCTCCCCCTTCCTTTTTTCTTCTCTTCTTCGTCCGCTTTTTCTGTCCATTTCCCACTGTTTGAGAGCTGTGCTGAAGGCATGAAAGGCTGGTTTTATGTCTCATGAACGGCCTCCGGGAGTCATAGGCATGGTATTCCTTTGGTTAATCACCTAGCCCTTACCCCTTATGGGGACCCTGAGGGATGGACCGTTTCTTTTCCTCGCTTATTTCCGCTTTATCTTGGCCAATAATGATGTTAACCCTTATAATGGGCATTAAGGCTTTCCCCTTCACCAAATAGCCCATCTAAATTTGATTTCATTGATTTTCCGACCCTCGCCTCTCATTTGACCACAGCTCCAACCACTGACACGTACTCCCTCCATGATTTTTTTGACAACTCTATCCATCCCGAATCAACCATCCAGGTCATTACTCAACCTCCCTCATTACTACTCTTCATTTTTATTTTACTTCTCCCTACAATACTACCTCACCCCACAAAACCCGATCTTCCTCCCACCCTCGTTCTTCTACTACTTCCACCTCTGCGAACCTCTTGATTACTCTAATCCAGTAAAGTGGGATCGATTTTTTATGATTCCCCCCTACAGCCCCATACTCTGACTATACCCGTTTCTTCTAACAATGTCTCCAAAAACAAGTAGGCAAAGTCTCCTTTCACAGTCGTTCTGATCGTTCGCTTTTTACCCCTAAATGACCTCACTGGCAAACCTATTCCTGCCGAACCTCACTCCTTTTAATATTTGTACCAGAACTGCTTCCGTCATCCCAAGTGCTTGTCCTATCCATGACAAAAAACTGATTAGACTGAAAACAACCTACTTGCCAGCCTTGTTGCCTATAATGCAGTAGCAGTACAGTGCTACACGATTCCCCCAGAGGATAGCGTAAGTTTTGCACCAATATTGCCAAGATTAGCTGCTGTAGACATGACCTCCCCCAAGAAGTTTAAACTGATGGTTACCTATCCTGTATGACCATATCGACTCCTTTCCTCGCTTATGTCAGAAATATTGGCGTTTTGGCCAACCAGATAAATACTGTCGCCCCACAGCCCGCTGCCCTCTATGTGGCCAACCTAGTCATGACTGTTCAAAATGCCCTGCTCAGTCACGTACGTGTGACAATTGTGGTGACTCCTATAATGAATTTTATAGGAGGTGCTCTGCCTATAAGCTCTAATGTGAGGTAGCAGTTCTCAGATTCAAGCTATGAAGCCAGACAGGAAGCATGGCGACGAGTTTTTTTTCTCTCTCTCTCTCTACCTGAAGACATCAGAAAAGTCGTAGACATGGCCCAAGAAAATGTTCCGCTCCCTCATCCACCCTCTAATCCTTTAATTCCTATTCCCTCTACATTCAAAGTATTTTCCGATATTCATTCCCCCTACCCCTCTTCCTCCCACTCTTTCCCAACACACCCAATCCTCTCCTGCTCCATCTGCACCATTCCTTCTTTGTTCCCCATTATCCTAACCACTCCCATTTGGATACTCACGAGAATCCCTTCTGTCGCAACAGTGTCCTTTAGATCCCTCGCCTCCTGACACTCTTCCTGATACTTCATCAACTTCCCCAGTCCCTTTATTTTATCCCCCGGATTCTTCTGCTACTCCTCCAACAGCCATATCTACCCATATTACCCAATGACTATTTTACAATAGCTCATTCGCTAGTTTTCCTTAAACAATGTTCCTATAGCTTCCCCAGTTACAGATATACACCATTTTCATCCAATCGCCCTATGCCCTTAACCCTTTCCTTTACTAATCGATTTACTTCATTTGCACCCCCTATGTACCCTTTTCCCTCTTAACACACTCTAACCTTTGACATCTAATACACTTTATCCTAAGCGTTAACTTATTTTTTATCCTTTTCGCCACAATACTTTACGTTAGTGTTATAAGGCCTTAGATGACTAACACATTTATATGTTTCTTCCATTAACCATTCACCTCAATACTTTTCTCATAGTGCTGTATGACCTTTAATGTCTGGTACATTTACTTGTTATGACCATTAACCATTCTGGGAATCCGCAAACATCGCCTTTTGAACCAAGACTTGTTTACCATGGGGCTTTGCAAGCATCACCCTATCGCTATATTTTGAGAACGCTGCTAATGACAGATGTTGACTGGGCAGAAAATTTTCAACAAATAAAATCTTGCTTGTCACTGCAGCCATTGCTTTCGCTACGGAGCTTTCTCAATTTTCATAAATAGTGTTTCCTGAAATGCAATATTTTTAAAGTAAGCTACCACTACACATCATTCTGTATTTTTCTTACTCATTTGAGAAATTCAGAAGTGCATTTTGTAGTTAGGGTTTGCACAATCACACACAGTTGCATCTAATAATCTAACCTCCAAATTCTCTATTTTTGTGGTCTGTTCAAGAAATCCATTTTTCTCTTAAAAATGCCACTGCTTATGAGGAAAACCATGTCGAGGCTTCATTATAAAATTGCAGATAGGAGGCATCAGTCAATCAGTGGAGCAAACACCAACAGATGCACATAGCCACATCCATCCTTCGCTTCCAACCACGAAGGTTCCTCATCGTGAGCCAACAGGCAGGCTCTCGGTCCATCTGTAACTCCTCGGGACAGGTCTGATCAATCTATACAAGCTACAACATCCTTTGTCATCCTATTGGTCTCCTTCACCCATGGTTGACTCGGGAAGAGGCAACCTAATGGGTAGGGTTAGCCACAGCAGCTAAGTGCTTGTTTAGCCTGAGGTTACGGCCCCGGACATTCAAGTAACGGGTGCTATATTGGTCTAATGGTGTAGCTGTTGGTTGGATATATGGCCCTGTACCCTATGATCTGACAAAAGGACCTGTTATAAAAGGCAACTCTAAGACAAAGATAGCATCCAGATTTCACTTCCTTAGAGTATAACTGGCAGTATAAGGGACTTGAAGACATGTAGCTTGATCCTTCTGAGCAGGAACCGGCATCTCCATATACTCTTGTTGCCAGGCCAATCCATCTGCTGACTTCCTGGTCTGACAACTCAATGTCATGTACCACAGCACTAAGGACTGTAAAGCTCTCGGTGACTACAATGTCCTAACCACAAGCATGTACCGACTGAACAGGTTCTAGCAGGCCGCCCAAAGCCTGGACTTCGGTCTTGGTCCAAAACACCTCTAAATCCAAGGGCTTCACCTCATTGCTAAATACATCAGGAGCTGCCACCAGAGATTCGAGAGACTCAGATGGAATAGCAACATTGTCAGCAAAGTCTTGACCGGTGACCTTGATATTGCCTAGCACAGTGACTTTGGATAGCAGCTCTATACATTATCCAGTCCATGCAAGTGTTGAAAAGTGTTTGTGGAAGAACACAGCCTTACCTCACCCCTAAATCAACAGGAAAGAGGCTTGGCAGACACCCACCATACTTTAAAGTACTTTCATTACTAGTATTCATATTTTGCTTTTAGTCCAACAATCCTAGTTAAAATCCCCTAAGTCTCAGGATCTCCCAGAGGAATTCGCTATACACTAGGTCATATACCTTCTTGAGGTAAGCTGTTAGCAGCCCTCGACCAAACTCATGACAAAGTTCCACAATAATTCAGAGCTCTAGGATAGTCTATTGCCAGGAGTAAATCCACTAGTACATCTGGCCTCTGGTGCCTTAGTAGGTGGTCTTGAATGTCTTATAAGAATGAGAGCAAGAACCTAGCCTGGTATTCTGATCTGTGTGATGCCACAGGAGTTGCTGCAGTCCCATTGATCACCCTTCCCCTTTCAGAGAGGTATAAAGATGCCCCTCAGCAGGTCAGAATGAATGGTACCAGGCTACCAAATGGTAGTAATTCAACAGGGATACCTGTATCACTATACCATGTCTAGCAACGTGGATTGAGAGAGCTGATACCAGGGGTTAGAAATCCTCAATCTCTTGGACCTTGCAAAGTCCCGGAGGAGGCTATTCTCACTGCTGGAATCAGCTCCTGTGCTATGGGAACCAACCGTTATCTCATAGCCAGCTTGATCACAAGTAGATATCGCGTTAGAGTCTCACAGAACAATGCAGTTTGCAAGTTTGGCATAGAAAACTTCTTTACACTGAGTTTGCAAACATTGGAAGGAGCGAACAGAGCAATAAGAGACATGAGGCACAAGCATACTTCAGTCTCATTGCCATTACATGCTTATCAACTGAAGCAACCTCTGCTATTGAAGGGTCGAGTCAGATGGAGATGGTTATCGCTACCCCTTGAAGATGATGACCATCGATCCGGCCCGACCAGTAGTAGGTGTAACCACCCACTTTGATGCTGCTGCTGCCAGGTATTGTCACTTCCATCCAGTACCCCTTCCCCTACCATCTCCATTTGTAAGTAGCACTGCCTGTGGTTTCGCTATCACTATGTCATCGACCAGAGACAGTGACACTCTAATTATGCTATCACTGATGCATGAATTGGTAAAACGTAACCCTTAATTAGCTGTAAGGGAGTAAAACCACAAAATAGAGTTTAGTGGTAGTTAAACTATAGTTGTAGCTGTGTGTATGTTAGAGGTGAAATACTTGTGGACGATCTTAGTGGTTACTTTAACTCGAGGTAAGGACCAAAATACCAAGTCGCCTTCTGAAACTGCCACCTCAGCATTCATACAACCAAACAACAAAGCCTCTGTCTAGGTGACCTGGGATCCCTAGGTCTAACCTTCGTGTAGGCAGTTCAGTTTGGAGCTTCATTGAGTGAAGGAACTCTTTAGAAGAAAACGGCGTGATTAACCGTAAAAACTATTAGAACTGATCAGAGATTAACTGTAGTATCAGTACGAAGTTAGCTGTAGATTCCAGTTCGTCTTTCCCCGAAGTTAGTGGGCAATGAACTATAGTCAAATTTTAAGTACTATTATGAAATAAATTTGTAAGTTATTTTTGCACACAGTGTTTAATATTATCTCCAAAGTGATATTGAATCTATCTGATATAACCTTGGATGAAATTACGAGAGTAAGGTACTAACGAAAATTGTTGTTGGGGTTTACTTGAGGCCTAACAACTATGAGGAGGACTGGCATGGCCTACCTCCCTAAGCATGTTTTGACGGGGAGTTATGTGTGGTAAGAGGGTAGAAAAACGGGAGGGAAACATGGTGCAGTTAAGACTTTGATCATTTAAGGATTTTCTAAGTATATTGGAACAAATTATGACCCTTTTATATTGATTAATAAACTATGGTTTCAGGAAGAGAAATGTACAGTAAAATTTATTCACATATAACTTCACTAGGCATTTTGTTATCGACTCTTATTATTTATAATGGTAGGTAGGTAGGTAAGCAGGCAATTGGTTTGAAAACCTATAAGACTGGGAACACAATAACTGAATATTTCTTTTTGTTGCACCATTACCCACAGAACTCTATAGCATATGTCTGCCCGCTTCAAACCTCCAGTTTCATCTCCCTGCAACCTAGGATATGGATAAATATTGTAAGAACATAACATATTCCTGATACACACTATAAGAAAGTGAATAGCTCTGGGCTCTAAGGCATGGGAAGCATGACGTGCATAGATTACAGTACTATCTAACGACACGAGAGTTCTTGAGCATCTGGCAACTCAATGAACGCTAATTTAGAGAACATGGTGTAACAGTGGCTAGGAAACGCGTATACAACACGTCTTGTGTATATTTCACAACATGGTGCAATAGAATTCTCCTTTGTTTTAAGAGCACAATTTTATAGAAGTACAAATTCATCAACGCCATATTGCTATCATCATCATCATCATCATCGTTATTATTTAAATTAACTATATTATTATTATCATTATTATTATCATTATCATTATCATTATCATTATCATTATCATTATTATTATTATTGTTATTATTGTTATTATTATTATTACTATTATTATTATTGTTGTTGTTGTTGTTTCTATCATTGTTATTATTATTATTATCACTATTATTATTATCATTGTTATATTTATCTTTATTATATCATATCATTGTAACCATTATTATTATTATTATTATTATTATTATTATTATTATTGTTGTCATTATTATTATTATTGTCATTATTATTTTTTTATTATTATTATTATCATTATCATAATCATCATCATTATTATTTATAATATTGTAATTATTATTATTATTATCATTATTATCATTACTATTAATAATATTGTAATTGTTATTATTTTTATCATTATCATAGTTATTATTATCATTGTTATCATCATCATCATCACTATCATCATCATCACTATCATCATTATTCATATTTTGTTGTCGGTAATAGTTTTAATCTGTTTAATGTTGTAATAGCAATATTATGTCATCGCCATCATTAAAACGTTGGTAATAATACGTTTATATACCATATCATTATCCTGACAAATAGCACGGAACAGAACAAGTCACAATTGTTAATATGACACGATTAATGACAACGGTAAAAAAATAAACCAGATAAGGATCACGATCTTTACCAATACCACCATCACTGAACAAACATCATTCAACCCTATATTAGAATGAAAAAGGGATAATGATTGTCATTATTATCATTATTATCATCATTATTATTAATTATGTAATTATTTATTATTATTATTATTATTATTATTATTTATTATTATTATTATTATTATTAATAATATCGTAATTGTTATTATTATTATTATTATTATCATCATAGTTATTAGTATCATCATCACTATCATCATCATCACTATCATCATTATTCATATTTTGTTGTCGGTAATAGTTTTAATCTGTTTAATGTTGTAATAGCAATATTATGTCATCGCCATCATTAAAACGTTGGCAATAATACGTTTATATACCATATCATTATCCTGACAAATAGCACGGAACAGAACAAGTCACAATTGTTAATATGACACGATTAATGACAACGGTAAAAAAATAAACCAGATAAGGATCACGATCTTTACCAATACCACCATCACTGAACAAACATCATTCAACCCCTAATATTAGAATGAAAAAAAGGGATAATGATTGTCATTATTATCATTATTATCATCATTATTATTAATAATATCGTAATTGTTATTATTATTATTATTATTATCATCATAGTTATTAGTATCATCATCACTATCATCATCATCACTATCATCATTATTCATATTTTGTTGTCGGTAATAGTTTTAATCTGTTTAATGTTGTAATAGCAATATTATGTCATCGCCATCATTAAAACGTTGGCAATAATACGTTTATATACCATATCATTATCCTGACAAACAGCACGGAACAGAACAAGTCACAATTGTTAATATGACACGATTAATGACAACGGTAAAAAAATAAACCAGATAAGGATCACGATCTTTACCAATACCACCATCACTGAACAATCAACATTCAACCCCTAATATTACAATGAAAAGGGAAAATTGAAGTTTAGCACGTACAACAATTTCCCTCTGTGCAGCTGCGACGTTCCAACGCAGACGATCGTGTACTGAACACGTACGAGGGCGAGTGGACGGAAGAGGGTGGTCGGTGACTCATAGCAGGTATAAAAGCACAGGGAGAGGTTGTGGAAGGCGTTGACACTCGCTAGGCCAGCATCAGGCACAATGCCTTGGATATCAGAAGTCCTTCCGGAAAGTAAGATTTGCGTTTACTTTGATTGGCTGCTTATAATCCTGAGTATGTTATGGGTATTATGTTCTCAGTACAGGGCGGACGAATATACCAAGGTGCAATATGAATATGCCAAGGGAAATCACTGCCAGGATACCCTGCTTTGGAGAATACTAAGGATAAGATTCATGTCTATTTATGATAAAGCCCGTCCTCGATATTAATAAAGTTAGTACTGATGGACTGCTTAACTCTAGAGCAGTGATATTTGTGTGATGTTGGTCAGACATGTCCCTCATTATAAATATAAATATATGTATGTTGGTCAAACATGTCCCTCATTATAAACATAAATATATACATGTTGGTCAGACATGTCCCTCATTATAAATATAAATATATGTATGTTGGTCAGACATGTCCCTCATTATAAATATAGATATATACATGTTGGTCAGACATGTCCCTCATTATAAATATAAATATATGTATGTTGGTCAGATATGTCCCTTATTATAAATATAGATATAACTTATTCCCAGAAAAAAGAGATGTAATAATCTAAGTATCATGAGTACTTGGATATGCTATTGCAGCTATTTGCATGAAAACTTCTGAAGGAGGAATTATGAACAGGTACAGTAATGTGATTGACTTAAAACAGGCTTGTGATTGCGATCGACTGGTTGGCCAACCATGCTCTAGAGCATGTATTTTTGGTAATTTTTTTTGAATAGTTCTGCTTAATGGATCATGACAATATTGGTATTGTTAGATACCCCACACTCAAGTTTCCAAATATATATAATGTAATCGTCCCTCCCCTTTAGTATTACTCTTGACCCTGATAGCAGGGGAGGGCATAAAAGTTACCAGGGAAAGTGTGGGATATAATGTGTATAATATATACATAATTGGTCAGTGGGTAATATTTTCTAATACATTTGCATAACAGATCGCATCAGTTTCAGTAATGTTGGATTCCTCTCACCATTTACTATGCAAATGTATAGTTTTTATTGTGTGGAAACCCCTTCAACCCTTACATTCTTATCCCTGATAGTAGGGTAGGGCATGAAAGGTACCAGGGAAATGTAAATAATACACGGAATCAGTCACTATATTTCCTAGGTAATTTTATGGAATATGTCAATTTAATGGATCGCAGCGATTTTGATATCGTTAGATTCCTCTCACTGTCTACAGTGCAAATATGTAGGTTTTATTGTGGGGTAGAATGTAAATGATATACACAGAATCAGTCACTGATTTGTCTAATGCAGGAGGCTGTATCCCCTTTAACCCCCCCCCAACCATGGGGGGAAGACCCCCCTAACACCTGCCCAGGAAAACAAAGAATCCTCCATGCATTCACAGCAAACGGGAGCGTATGGTTGCCATGCAGGAGTGGCATTGCCAAGTCTGACTGATACTCTCTCCTGCTGTGAATGCATGGAGGATTCTTTGTTTCCCTGGGCAGAGGTTGGGGGGTGGTAGTGACTGATTCTATGTATATCGTTTACATTTTACCCTGCAATTTCTCTTGGTACCTTTCATGCCCACCCCTGCTATCGCAGCCAAGAATGTGGGGGATATGGGGGGTTTCTATATATTTGGAAAGGGAGACAGAAGGATCCAATGGTACCGAATTCCTTGCGATCTGTTTGGTGAACGTAATCAAATAAATTACCAATTGCGTAATGCAAAATCCTTCACGTATTAATGGTAGGAAAGAGCATTGGACAGACTTGGCAACGCCTCTCCTGCATGGTGTTTATATGCTCCTGCTGTGAATACATGGAAGATTTTTTGTTTTCCATGGGCAGGGGGTCGCAACCTCCCATGGGTGGTTACAAGGGACACAGCCCCCTGCATTAGACAACACAGTGACTGAATCTGTGTATATTATGTAAATTTTACCCTGGAATTTCCCAGATACCTTTCATGCCCTTCCTTGCTATCGATATTAATAAAGTTAGGAATGTAGGGTTAGAGTGGGATAGGGGTAGGGGTGGGGGGAGTAGCAGAATGACCCAAGCCTCCAAGCAACATGATATTTTGAGGGTAGAGTTGTCAAAGAAAAGGAAAGGTTTTAAGTGACTTCTGTGCAATATGTATAATTAAACGTTATTTAAAGATGGATATATTTTGTATAATTTTGTTGAAAATATATAGGTTTTGTTGCGCAACCTCAATATAGGTTAGATTATAGTTTCAGTGTGTACTGATAGTGTATCACTGGTAGTAATCAAGCAGCTTTGTCAGCTGCAGTAATACCATGATAATGATGGTGGTGCAGTGTTTGTGGTGGTGGTTATGTTTGTTGTTATCATGATAGTATTGGAATTAGAAATCTGTAAGATATAGTAAGATATATTCTTTATCATATTACTTTAAATAGTAATTGGAATTAGGAAGCTATAAAATATAGTAAGATATATTCTTTATAATATTACTTTGAATGAGTATATTCAAAGAAGACCAGGATGGTGTTATTTCTTATCAGCTGTGTAATATCTGAGGCAGTACAGGGGGGGATATAGCAACTGCAAAGTACTTGCTTGCAGGTGAAGCACACCTAGCAGCTCAAAACACACACATACTCACTCACTCACTCACTCACTCACTCACTCACTCACTCACTCACTCACTCACTCTCACTCACTCACTCACTTCACTCACTCACTCACTCACTCACTCACTCACTCATTCACTCACTCCTCACTCACTCACTCACTCACTCACTCACTCACTCACTCACTCACTCACTCACTCACTCACTCACACTCACACACACTCACTCACACACACTCACTCTCACTCTTCTCTCTCTCTCTCTCTCTCTCTCTCTCTCTCTCTCTCTCTTCTCTCTCTCTCTCTCTCTCTCTCTCTCTCTCTCTCTCTCTCTCTCTCTCTCTCTCTCTCTCTCTCTCTCTCTTTCAATATATATTCATGAACCACTTGAAGCTCTAATCTTGATGGCAGTGCATGTAGTAACATAGAAATGGGGTAGGAAGGTTTGGGTTCATACGGCAATCCCTGTGGTTTGTTTAGGGGTTTATGATAGGGTTCATTCCCTTGTTTATTTGTACAACACTGGGTCAAATCTTCCATGGTCAAATCTTGTCTAGGGTTTTTCTTTTTTCCGCTTTCTTTATCATGTGAAATATAATTTGTAGTATTGGTTTTTATATTTCCACTTTCTTTGATTTTTTAATTGCTTGCTGTGAGCAAAATTGTCCTTATCTCTCCACACCCAATACCCTTGATTCCCCACAGGATCCCCCAAGGTTATTAGCTTGAATTGGGGACTTCTTCTCTGATGGCTGTGGTCCTGCTGTAACTTTTACCCAAATATCATTTAGTCTTGGAGTGAAATTTGACAACTATGCCAATTTATAATTTCAATGGCAGGTGGTTGTAGTTAATTATTTAATTATTTTATTATAAACTTTAGATGCATAGCTAATCAAATTTTCTTTCAGTCATATGTTATTTTTCTCATAAGGGTTTGTAAAAGAGCATTACAGAAGAGCTAAATCTGTGGTTGTTTGTTACTGTCCAAGTGCTCAGTTTCTTTTATCTGAATATAGTTCTCTCTTCCTACCACCCTCTCTTTATCTTGAGGTACTGCTAGATGCAAAATACAGTATGACAGCATTTTGTATCCAGATCTCCATTTACTTATTTACCTGACAATACAATGCTGTATGTACCAGAAGATATATCTTTGGTACATATTTTTTTTATGGTCAAATTGATACAACTTTTGGTCCTTTTCAGTTTCCAAATTGCTTTGAAATCTTATGATTTTTCAAGCTTTTTAGAATGTTTAAAATTTTGAAGTGTTGCTCAAGCCCATAAATTTTTTTCTGATATTCTTAAGGGTTTAACCATACCATGTGCATGTTTTTGACAATTGGCTTCATTCAAAGTTACAAAACAAATAGATAATATGGAGCCATTGCATATATTTACTATTCATATTACAGCCCTGACACATCCTTCATTTTACTCTTAACAATGCATTGCACAAACAGTGGTTGATAGGTTGGATCCATTGTAAACATTTTAGACGAAGTAAATACTCAGGCATAGTTTCTATGAATGTATTGAAGATAGCATTGCTCCATTCTCAAAATGCTATCCAAGTGAAGCACTGTTATTACTTAAGTTTCATATGATTCTTCTGTATATTGACCAGCTATTTACTACCTCACCATTTTTAGAATATACTTTATTGATTTTTAGAATTCACTGATTGTCTTGTGTATGACTTGCAGATCCGAAACCACCAACCAGAAGCAAAGATAAGCAAACAGTGGCCGGTACACTTGGGAGAGTCATCAAGTTGAAGGCCAATTACTATCCCATAACTGTCAAGTCATGGGATAAACACTTATTCCATTATGATGTAGTCATTGAGGAACCAAACCGTGGGGAAATGGATATTCCTAAGAAAAAGAAGTTGTGAGTATATGCTGATTCAGTTTCTAGACCTTTAATTGGTAGGTGCAGGTGCTGTTTTGCCAATTGGTTGTCAGATATGTTTGTCTTGTTTGTTAGTTGTTGTAATACCTATAACCATTGTAAGTATGTAAAGGGATTTGTTTATAATGTCAAAGAAGAGCCATAATACTTAACCTGTAGGCTATAGGTGGCATGTATGCACATGCCATGGCTGTTGTGGACCAAAACACAGATGGCATTGTATCATGCCCATTCCCGTGTCACTAGCTCGTCAGACAGAGTTTGTTTTTCTCCAATAATAGTGGCTTCATTTATATGATAAAGATTTTAGGCAGTGGCACCTACAATGAAGGTAAACTGGGTTAAAGTAGAATGACACGAGTCACACTTGATTACCATTAACATTGAAAGTATCAGATGTTAACATCAGTTACAATAATAAGATATTAGAAAGTAAAAGAAAAGGTAAAAATACGGATGTAACCTTTCCTTGAGTTTGCGGAGAATGCTTTTTTTACTAATGCTATCAATATTGATACTTTTATTTTTTTCATAAACGTCATGATTACCATATTGCTATTGACATTACTAGCAGCAATATTAAACACCAGAAAATATTAGCAAAAATCAAGGAAAAGGGTAAATAGGTGAGACAGGTAGTTCTCGTAATTATCTCATTGTTGACGGAGTACTTATGTGGAAAAACAATTGCTAAATTAAATACATAGTGGGCATGGCATGTACGCACAAGCCGTCCCTGGCAGCATGTGGTTAATAGCACACACAGATTCATTACACATGTTTTGAAAATAATATATGAAGTGGAAACAGTTATGATTGGAAGGTAATAGTGGTTGATATGTTAATGAAATAATTTAGTTTACATTAGGAAACCACAAGAGTAGAGCCTGTCACAAATACAGCATCCGAAAAGATAGATTGATTGATGAGGAGTGCCTGTGTATGCATAAATATGGATATGTTAATATATGAATATAAGAGAACACATGAACATGTACACCTCTATAAATGTTGTAAAGTATGAAGTATAATAGTCAATTCTCTTATATCTTTAGAAGCTTCTAAACTGAAGCAAAAGAATTAAATTCAAAAGATTTGTTGTATTTCTGTTCATATATGCAGATGAAATGACCTTAAAAATCATAATTATTGAACGCTGTGAAGCATGATAAGTTATGATGTTTTATGATGTATGGGTTCACTTGCCAAGCCAAGCAGTTGGCTATATCTTCTGTCATGCAGATAGATGTGCAGATAAGATGATGATGATTATAACTTTTTTTAATATCTGAGTGACTTTGAATATTGTTAATACACTTCAATAATCTACGACAAAAAACTCAGTAATATTTTGATTTTTTACCCTCATTTCACTAGAATGATTTTTGATGGCCTAAAGATGAGATATCCGCAGTTCTTCAAGGAATACAATTTAGCATATGATGGCATGAAGTCTGCAGTTGGCCTTGGAAAAATTCCAGAGCTTAGTGATGGTCGTGCGCATCAGGTAAATTAGCAAATAAACGTTGCTAGTTTAAAGTTTCATCTCTGTATTTGGGAATTTCAAGATATTTTTTATTATTATATGTGGGTATTTACCCATTTTGATCCCACAATGATGCTCATCACCTTTTTTTCATACATCATCATCATCATTATTATTATTAATTATTTATTAATTTTTTATTATTATTATTATACTTTTTTATTATTATTATTATACTTTTTTATTATTATTATTATACTTTTTTATTATTATTATTATTGTTATTTTTTATTATTATCATTTTTATCATTTTTATCACCATCATCATCAAAATCATCATCATCATCATTTTTATTTTTATTACTATTACTATTACTATTATTACTGTTACTATGATTTTGACATTGTTATTTTTATCTTGAAGATGAACATTAAGGATATTATTTAAGAATATAACTAAAAAGAAGAAGATTAGAACATTAGAACAAGTCGAGAAATAAATGCAATCCATTGATATTAGGAAACCAAACCTCAATCAAGATTTCATACTTAAAGATTCGTAAGATTTGAATTATGAAATGAAAATTAACATATGGAGAAAATTTTCATGGTCTTATGCATAGAGAAGAATATATATAGCATATTGGTTATATTATTTCATTTATTTATTTTTTTTATTATTGTTTTGTGCAAAGGTGATTGATGTAATTTTCAGATATTTGTGAAAGTTGGAGTATTTTCCTTTTTTCATTGTGAAAAGAGAATCTATGTAAATCTATTTTTTAAACCATTTCAGGTCCATATTTCTGGTGATAGTGGCAAGAAGAGTAGATACATTTTGAAGCTGAGAATTGTGAATACTCATAGTCTTAAGGACCTGGAGGTAGCACTCAAGAAGTGCAGCCGTGCAGAATGTGTAGAATTGCCATCTACGATATTTCAGGTATGGAGAGAGTGAAGTTGCCATTCATAAACCTGGCAGACCAGAGTAACGTAAATTTATTTTTTATAGTTTCTTGCGTAGGTTATCTGCTTTGTTCTTGAGACTCGACTCATGTTATTTAAAGGTTGCTTATTTGATTATTTTGAATACCCTCACCAGATTCATCTTGGTGTACAAAATGTTTTGTCCAAGACTGTGACAGTTTTCCCAAGGAAAATGGGAGTTTTGCAAATCAGTGTATATTTGTGCAATAAAGAATACTCATCTATATTTGGCAAAGGTTTTCCTTTGCTCTTAGGCTATGCAGTCAGCAGTTATGGATATGATAATTAGTTTTAGAATAAAAATAGATCACTTGATTACCCTGTTGGATTTGATTGATGATATTATCTTGTCATAGCAAATTTTGGCTGAGGGTCAGTGTAACAGGAGAATTAGATAAAGGCCGAAAGATTATTAAAAAGTTCAGGGTTACTGTAAAGTCATGTGCCCATGAAAGGTTATATTATGGTCAAAGTGACAAAACAGGGAACACACACAAAAAGCTTCTGAAAAGATATGGATTACAAAAATATCATTTACAAATAAGGTGGAATGGTCAAGGGATCAAGACATGGGCATAAGATGAAATTTCCAAGAAGGGCTGCAAAAAGTCAGAAGTACAAAATGGTCTGGGTCAAAGACATTTTTTGAAGTCCCAGAAAGGTCAAGGTCAAGAAAATGGTAACTAAAATGTAAGTCACAAAAATATTAAAGATCACAACTACGCTCCACTAGGAAAGTATCGTAGTGCACTTGATCAAAGCAGGAACACATGGTTCTTAAGTTCCATAAGCTTTTACTTCTCATAAGGCCACAGCAATTTTTTTTTCTTGAATAGCAAGTAAATCTGGTGATAATGAAATGTCAGTGGGAGGCGAAAAAAAAAAAAAAATCAATTTTGAAAAATGAAATAAAATATATAGATCAATAAAAATGAATAAATGAATAAAAGATTAAATCCCCAGCACTATAATAAGACAAGTGTACATCCTACCTTCCAAAGATCAGAAGTAAAGGAAGGTATCAGTTCCAGCCCCACCTGGAGGAAGTGCAATTCTGTCATACTAGAAGTCTTTGAGGAGTTGAATGAAAACATTTTTGTTTTGATGTTTGAATGTGAGTGTTTACATCTTAGTGCGCAGGTTCTCTGCTCATGCTGGACACCATAGACAATATACATGACGTGACGCATGAGAGTAAGGGATTTCAGCCAAATATATATATATTTTTTTTTGTTCAAAATGGGAGAAATGATACCAAACACGATAAATCATAGACAAATTGAATTGTATTTATATTTTTGCTATTTCTTTCGTGGACGTCACAATATTGGGAAATTAGAGGGAGTAAATCGGGATTTTCACCCCCCCTCCCATTTTCCTGGAAATAAATGTCGGCTGGTCCGCTATTCAAGAAAAAAAGTTGCTGTGGCCTTATGTCCAAGTCTAGTTCTTGTTAGTTCATACCATTGATGATGATAAGATATTACTAAGACAAAGTTGTGTATTATTAAGGCAGTAGGGCAATCTAATTTTTTTTATTTTTTTTTATTGTAAAATGAATAAACCAACTTTACATAAAATTTGTATGTATGCACATATATTTTTCACTTTTACTTGAGAGGAATGTGCATACAAAGTTCTTATTAGATTGCCTATGTAAAGAAATCTCTTTGATATTTCAGTTTGAACTTTGAATTCTAAAACTGACAAACAGGTATAAAGGCAATATTCATCCAACTAAAATGGTATGTTCTATGTTTTTCAGATGTTAGGAATAATGTTTCAGAGGCCAAGTACTCATTTTTCATGCGTTGGGCAAAATAGTTTTTTCCCCCTGGATGGCGAGCTGGGACCCTCGCATGACATTGGAGGCGGCAAGGAGATTAAACCCGGCTTTTTTGGTTCAATAAGACCCTCTGGGTGGAAACACTGTCCCCTTCTTTTGAACCTTGATGGTAAGATTTTGCTTCGTATTTTTTTTCTTTGTCATGCGAGTACTGATATGATTACGTTTTCTCTATTACATAAGCACGATTATAGTAGCGCGCTCACGCACACACAAGCAGTATCACACACAGCAAATCAGCACAGCACACCGTCAATCACGCACGCTGTAGTTTTTGTGTTGATTGGTGATTGTATATGGGTATGGTTAGGTGATGGGCGCACGAACGCCGGCACACAGACCGCAGGACGCAGCACGCACGGGACCACGCAGCGGCACGCGGAGCCTGCGGCAACCCTACACAGCACACCACACGCACCGACACACACACACACATTGCACAGCAGGCACCACACACCACAATACACATATACAACACATACCAGCCGCATAGCACGCATGAGCAAACGCAACACCACACACACTCCCCCACACAGCACCCATCAGCACACAGTTTGCTTACACACAACAGCACAGCGCACACCTTCTGTAGGTCGAGCTATGTGAAGCACACACAATGGGGTGCACAACTCACACACACACATATTCACCACACACACACACACCACACACACCCACACACGTGACACACACACACACACACACACGGCTACACACACAAAGCCATCAACCACACACACACCTTCTGTAGGGTTCACGGACAATGTGAGACACAGTCACAGCACACACACACACGCCACACCACATATAGTGAGTATTTTGATGTTATGAGTGTACACACAGATGCGATTCGCACAGCACACACACCGTTACAGTTGTCGCCAGTTGTTTCACATCAGAAAGGCACAACACACACGACGCACACACACGACGACAGGCGCGCACACATTCAAGCACAGGCAGCACCAGATGGTATGTGACGCACACGACACACGGCACGACAAGTAGTGGGGGGATGTGTTAGTATGATTCAGG